TTGGTTTATTTGGTACTGATGCATTTGATGTGGCGAATGTGTCCCCCTATATATTTTATCCTTCAAGGCTTCAACTGCTATGGCGTTACGTTACGTTGTCACTAGCCTTATATTTTCTTGTGAGTATAAAGACTTGCTCGAACCAGTTCATATTCCAGGTGAGTGGCGCATTCAAAATTTATGTTAATGGGTTTAAGGTGCTCAGTTAGATGAAAATATGATATTAAAACATACTTATACCCATTTCTTGCATTTTATATATCATAACATGTGTAGACCTCTACACAAGTTTTGAGGAAAGTCCCTTTTTCTTTTAGTTTATCGTCCAAAAAGGGTGAATCTTTACTTAAATTCTACAAAATTGTTCAAATTTGCCTTTCTTTAATAATTAAGATTAAAATATATCTGTCGTTATTAAATTGGTCTAAATTTGTCATTATTGTTCAAGGGCAGATGCTATATTGAACCATCGGTTTTATTTGAATCCAGTACTTTTGATGCATATCATAAATTTATGTTAAGATATACTCAATTGCAATAAATAATAGGTGTGAACCATAATATTAAATATTGAATTCAAAGCTAACAACCTTAAAGGTTGAACCCAAAAAAATTAACAACATACAGGCTGCATGTGGGAAGGATCTCCCCGACCAGTCTCATGACAGGAGAAGTGAGGCATACAAATGGGCTCTTCGCCATACGAAGAGGTGTAAAATGGCCGATGGCATAATCTTAAACAGATTCAAGGATTTGGAACCTGGAGGCTGGAGCTACTAAATCACTACAAGAGGAAGAACCTGGTATTTATAAGCCAACCATTTACGCAATTGGACGTAGATAATATCATCACGATCCTTCTTTTCATACCGCCCGCTAGTGATGGACCACTTATACTAATAGATACACATAGCAAAGTTGGTGACGAGTCATCACAATGTTTGAAATGGCTTGGAGGGGATCAGAACTCTACATTTCATTTGGGAGTGGTGGGACCCCTGCAACATAAGTATTGGTAGCTACTAAATCTCAACTATGAATTTAAAAATCGTGGCTAATACAGAACAATAGCCACAAGAATTAGAATTTCCTGGTTATTTACAAATTCGTAAAATTTGATAGCCACGAAATTAAATTGGTAAAGCTAATTCCTTATTTTTGTTATAATTACTAACAATCGTAGCAATAATTGCCTAAATAGCTATAAATTTATTGCTACAATAAAATTGCGTACCTAATTCATACACTTTAGCCACACATTAAAAGTTATTATAGCAATAGTAACCTTTTAGCCACAATAAATTATTTAAAATAAATATTATAGCTAAAGAAATACATTTGCTTTAAATTATAAAAAATTGTGGCAATAGGTAAATGATCTAGCCACAGATTTATTGCTATGACAAAATTATTGTATTGTTAGTTTTTGCTACAAACTGAAAGTTATTGTAGCAAAAGTAACTTTTAACCCATAATAAATTATTTAAAATACAATATTATAGCTAGATAAATATTTTTGCTTGAAGTTCTAAAAAATAACGACAATAATTGGCTTAATAGCTATAATTATTTTTTAATACAGACTGGTCTAGCCATAAATTTATTGCTCTGATAAAATTTCGTAGCCAATCATTAGCTTTTGCCACAAGTTAAAACTTTTTACAGTAATAATAACCTTAAAGGCCTATAAAATTATTCGAAACAAAATCTTGTAGCTAATAATGAGTATTTTTGCTTCAAACTAGAAAAAAATAAAAATAGTTGGCTTAGAAAAATGAAAATAGTTGCCATGACAAAATAATGAATATTTTTGCTCGATTATGAAAATCATGACAAGAGTTGTCTAACACTATTAGGTAACAAAATTGCGGACAATAGCTATTTAAACATTCTGCCCAGGCATTCAAATCTTTCTTCGCGAATGCGGTCAAAGCCTCGCGTTCGCGAAGCACAAACTTAAGTTGACCAAATTTTCCTCCTTCGCGAACGCGTCTAACCTCTCGCGAATGCGATGCCTCCAGACTCCAACCTTCGCGAACGCGGCTCCCCTTCTCGCGAAGGCAATGCTCAATGGCCCAGCCCTTCGCGAATGCGGGACCTCCCTCGCGAACGCGAAGGCCAAACCTTCAGCCTCACCTACTAACCCTTCGCAAACGTGAGGCTCCACTCGCGAACGCGAAGGTCAATTGTCTGCAACACCCAACAACAGATTTCTGCAACTTTCCAAAACATGAAATGGTCCGATTGACCACCCGAAACTCACCCGAGGCCCCCGGGACCTCAACCAAATATACCAACATAACTCATAACATCATTCAAACTTGTTTCATTGCTCGTAACACTCAAAACAACATCAAAACACCTAATTCGCATCGGATTCAAGCCTAAGAATTCCAAAATCTTATAAATTACGCTTTTGATAAAATAAAAAAAGTCTACCAAACCATGTCCGAATGACCTAAAATTTTGCACACACATCCCAATTGACAAAACGGAACTACTGCAACTCCCGGAATTCCATTCCGACCCTTATATCAAAATCTCACCTATCAACCGGAAAACGCCAAAATTTCAATTTCGCCAATTCGAACCTAAATCTACTCCGAACCTCCAAAACACATTCCGATCATGCTCCTAAGTCCCAAATCACCTCCCGAAGCTATCCGAACCATCGGAACTCACNTGAAGTTATCCGAACCATCGGAACTCACATCCGAGCCCTTTAACACATAAGTCAATATCCGGTTGACTTTTCCAACTTAAGCTTCCACAAAGGAGACTAAGTGTCTCAAACCTTAACAAAACCTCTCTGAACTCGAGCCAACCAATTCGATCACACATAGAGCCGATAAACAAAGCAATAAGAAGCAGAAATGGGAAAACGGAGTGATAACTCATGAAACGACCGGCGGATCGTTACAATTACAATAATATACAATATGACTTTGATCGAACTCATATTTTATATTATTGCAATGTGCATGTCATATACTCTATTACTTTTAAATAAGTGCACCTTTTTATTTCAAAAAAGTATTCATATTGAGGACTTTAATTATTGTAGGATATTTATGTATATGGTCCTTAATAATTTTTACATCACTTATATATATATATATATATATATATCTCATATATTAAAGAGCTTTATTGAGGGAGGGTTGGTGCATTTAGTAAATGACCAAAGGCTCGAATTATATACAAGAAACATATTTAACACTACAAGAAAATAATAAAAATCTTAATGAAAATTGATATTTCGTAGCTACATAATCACGGATTTACAATGAATTTATGGTTTTATCACTAATTAAAATTTTTATATTGAAATAATAAGTTTTACAATTAATAATAAAATTTATTGCTAATTTTTGCCCCCATATATGATGACAAATTAAATTTAAAAGTAGGATTTTTATCTTAACATTATTGTTTGTATTAACTTTATATAATTTTTTATATCTAGTTACACTAAGATATCAAGTCCATACAAAAGTTAATTATACTGTTATTCTGGATAAATTAATATTAGTTGTAAGTTCTAATTTTATTAAAAATATTGAATTACATATAATTAATGTGTGAATAACTAATTATTGAGAATTAAACAAATTAATATATTTAGTCTA